ATTATTGCGCCTATAAAATTTACACAGTTCATTGATTAATTGGGCGACATCATCCTGGAGTTAATTGATTTTTTATTGGTGCAACTCTTGCAATGCTCTCTATGGCTAACACGTGGAGCAGCTTTTTGGCAATCGCCGAGGGAAAGACAATTTGGCTGTATCTTTCATGACTCTTTGCCTTGCTCTTTGCTGTGGTGCAATTAGTAATTCACGACGCGATTCAACATACTGAATCTTGTCTTAATCTTCGGTAACTTAAGAGATTTGCCATTCAACGTAACGATAAGATGTCAAAATTCGTGAAAAATATAAAAAGATCCGTCAATAAATGTTTTCAAGTTGAACATGAGTCTGTTTATTTGATGGAAAATGGTAAATCGGATATGAATTCGAATGAAATCATCAATGCTCTAAACGTCAGAATCTTATAATGTAAAATTGACACATTACCATTATTGAAATTTGAACGAAAATGTTGAGTTCCTTTATTGGTTTGCTCTAAAATACGTTGAATTGGCTGTTTTTCGAATAAAAGCCAATGAAAAGAATGAATATTGCTTTTTTCACATCTTCGCAACACTTTTTGAGTTGTACATCACTTTCAACCGTAATATCTACGCCTTGGCAATCGCATTTTTTTTTTTTGGCACTTCCCATTCATCTTGTGTGGAAAAGAGATCATCTGGCGAGAGACAAGAAATGTTCACGTGTCTCTGCAATCTTGGCATTTGAAATGATCTTTCTCACTTTTGGCGTCCATTGAGGAAAAAGCTCGCTGGGGATCTTTTACTGACGCTCGGTTAGCATGAGGAGAAAGAAAAAAGATCCAGTCCAACTAATTACACACTTCCCGGCCAAATTGCTCCTCATTTTGGAGATTTATGCCACTGTCAGATCATCGTCTTTTTTCCCATCTCCGCACCATGGAGATTCAGCCTCTGAATGCCAAATCCAAATGAGATTCCGCCGGATTAATAAAAGTCGCCTATTTGATTAATTGTGAAACTCTGCAAATATCTTTTGGTCACCTTCTGCAATTTCCGCCCAATCGATCCATTTGACATATCGCGCTCTCACTCTGGTGGATGCTTTCAGCAGGTCTTTTATTGCCACTTAATTGGTGGGACAATTCACAAGGTTAATTTTATCACAGCACGATCTGTATTTCTGCAACTCATAAATTTTATTGTTGCCTCCAATTTGGGGCACGATTCAATTTTCACACACAATTCTTATTTGATGCGCGGCAGAGTACAAAAAGTTGCCTATTTATTCAGCCATTTTCGACTTGTATGTGCAGAAAGTGAAATTTGCACTGTGAATTTTTAATAGCCAAGATGGATTTTGATGTAAGAGATTTGATCAAACGTTGCACTTTCATATTGAACCAACAAGTCAATGAAAAGTTCAGCATTTGTATTTTTACATAAACCTCCAAAAATATTAATTCTTATGATTAAGATAAAAATATAGCAAGTCATTGGCTAAATAAAATCATTTTCTTTCCAAAAATTGTCACTATTCTGCATCTTTGAAGTTAAGAAATACTTCAAATTGTACAAGAACTGACATAACTTCAAAAATAACTGAGAAATGTAAGTTTTTCAAAGTGTTATGAAATTTGAAGTCAATTTTTTGAGGTGTCAGGAAGTCGATCAAAGAACTACAAATTGTGAATGCTCTTCATTTCTATTCTACAATCTATCCTTGGTTATATATCACAGCTGATCCTCTTTGGCCATAATCTTAGCCATTGGTGAAGTAGAGATCGCCAATCGACAGACACGAGCCCAAATCCCAACTTCCGGTCTCGCAATCCATGAAATCTTTCAAGTTCCCCTGTAATTGAACTCTACATTGACAAATTGCGAGCATGAAACGAGAAAGAATGACGCGAGGAGTGAGAAAATGATCACAAGATCACGACTGAAAGATCATTTCCACAAAGAGCCCCAATTTGAGTGAGCGATGGTGTGATTGTCGCGCTCGTGGTGTCTCATATTAGCATTAATTTTTATTGTTATTATCACTCTGATTGTGCGCTTAAATTGGTGGTGATGGCAAGACCCGGGAACTGAGCGGCGCGATCTGACCAATTTGACGAGAGTGTGTGCAATGGCGCAACAATGCCGGAGCGCAGAGCACGAGATGCACCCGTCTGTGCCCTATTCGTGGCCCCACGGCAATTGCGCCTCCATGTCGTGTGGTGAAGTCTCTTTTTTTTCTGTAATTCCACTCGAGTCCACTCTCCAGAGATTGAGTATGCCGACAGTGTACGAATTGTTTTGGGAATGCCTCCGTATGCCAGTTCTCACGCGTGTTAATTGTTTGTGGTTGGCTTGTTTCTCATTACAATTCGCGCGTTCCAGCGCTCTTCTCCTCCGCAACACCATAATTTGATCATGCCGACCGATCGCGATCCGCACGTTGCAGCGGCCAAATGGATATCCAATTGATTGAGCACACTGCCGCTAATCCCTCGCATGAGCAGCCGCGGATCGCCTGACGAGATTCCGTGGGTGAGGATCACGCGCTGGCAAATAGAGTGACAACACGCCGAACTGACAGTCGTGCGAATTTAACGTAACATCCAGTCCCTCATCTTTAATTCCGGTTTAATCGATTTGTGGTCAAATACCCTAGTTTTGGTGTGGTAAATTACAAATAATAAGTCATTTATTTGTTTTATTTGCAACCGTCAAATTTTGAATTCAAAATAATTCTTTTAAATCTCTTTTAAATCTTTCTTACAATGTTTTCTAGTTGTTCTTGCTCGATATTCAAATATCGAAGTCTGTGCGACTTGATGAGGCTTCTTCTCTTTCTCATTTCTCACCAGTTGAGATGCGATCATGATCAACAAAGGTGATCAGCGATGGAAAGATGTATAATTTTGGGATGCATGTGCGCGGTGACACGCAAAAAGGCCTCAATTTTCCGCCCCTTCCCGCCAAGGCGACAGTTTTGTACGCGAAAATCCCTTTCATTCACAATTTTCCACGTACCGTCAATGGCAATTGATGGCGACCGCTAAATACGCACTCCTCGGGCCAAACGCACACCTGTCGCACGTTCCCACGACTCGATTCTGTCGAGTGACTGCACAAGAGCGCGATAATACTCCGGATGTGACGTTGCGACACACTCGCCACTTCTTTTGCACATCATCCTCCAACTCGTTTGACGGAAAATCTCACTCAATTTTTCCGCCGTCATGCAATGGGGCGACTTAGAATCCACACACGCCATTGTGCTAATGTGTCTCTCCGCAAGCTCTTTGCGCGATTGTGTCGCTGAAAAGTGTCGCTCGGCGTGTCTCTTTATAGGTGTCAACCTGATTTGCCCGCGGGGAAATTTATTGATTTCAGTTTGGGGTCTGTAAATTAAATTTAAAGAGGTATGACGGTAATTTTCGATTCACTTTTTGTCGTGCACTCTTTTCAATTAAATTCTCATGGGAGCGTCAGAAGTCTTCCTCTGGCGTGCATTTCATCATGATTCTCTCCTAAGCAAATTAATTGGATTCTCATTTCGATGGGCAGCGCGGCAAGAGCTGCGAGAGAGTTAATTTGGGAAGTTGCTGTTATTGGAATGCGTCGCACTTCCTGGTTAATATGGCCTTTTTATCAAAAGCAATTTGAGTGTGAGAATTAAGCTTTACTGTATGCAAATTGCTGCTAGAACATTACACTATATTTTCAATATTGATTGAAAATATATTGAGAACTCCAAGAGATATCCTGCCAAATACGACTTTAAATCCATATCTTATTAGATTAGATGTCAAATTATGTTTTATAAGAATGTGACAGGTCTTTGCAATGAACTTTTTAAAATAATTATCTAAAAGAAACTTAATATTATATAAAAAGAACCATAAATTAAAGCAGACACTTAAATCATCAACATAGTTTATCTATTTGATATCTTTTTTTCTAACTTGTTTTCGAAATATCCTTCGTTTATTAATTATAAGACAAGATTTGTATAGTTGAGTAGGACTTTTCAAAACTGTTTTGCGTTTTTATGCATTATTATTAAATGATATCATATAAATTGACAATATTTCGCAAATGATTCTCCTTCCTTTTCTTCTGAAAACACTAAAAGTCGTCCAGCTGAATGCGGACGTCTTGTGCATCTTCCGACCTCGTGATCTCTTCCTTTTCAGGGCGAGACGATGCGCCTTTGTCGCCCTCCTTGAGATTCCCCTCGTGTGGCAGGCTCATGCTGAAGCTATTCATCGACTGAGTTCCCCTGCTTTGCTATTCCGTGCGCCCGTTTTTGTCCCTCCGCGTGTTCAGTACACCCGGAATGTTTCACAATTGACTGCTTTTTCGATTCGGCGGCAGAAGCCCGAGAGTGTGGGAATTTGTAGGATTGCCGGAGAGACTTTCCCACGACGATTTTGTACACACACTCGCGCTCTGGAGTTTCCATTCCATCAGGGCGCAACGTGTTATTGTTCTCCCTGGGCTTTCAGAGCGACCTTTTGTGCGTCTGCACACGAAACTTCCTTTGCGTGTGACGAATCGTGTCGCTTCCTTTCTGGTCAGGATCGTGCGCACAATCCGCGTGGCGGACACGAGATGCGCCATCGGCCAAGGAAGATACGATCGGGATTTGGGGATGGAAATCAATTGAATTGAGATATCAAAGTGGTCTAATTACTAATAATCATCATTTTTCACTGGCGATCAAGTCACGGTCATTCATTCATTGCTGACACATCAGATCATGGGAGTGAGCGCGATCGCAAGATGATCGCGTTGTGAATGAAGCAATTTCTCGTACACTTTTTACCCATCGCCGCGTGTGTGTGCGCTTCGCGGCGTGAAAACACCGTGCAGCAGAGGGAGAGGCGCCGATCGCGTTGTCTCCCTTCGGTGCACGCATCGGAGGCGGAGCCAGCTGGAGAGTGAGACGGCCGAGTGATCCCCACTGCCGGCCGGATCGCCTGTGAAGTTATAAATATACGCTCGGCGCGACTATCCGCTGTATTCTGTGAGCATTCATAGTCGACGGACTATCTCTAGCTGTTGCGCGAGTGAATCTTTTGGCGGGAAGTGCGCGAGATTCCTGCGAAGGTGATCGACAACACGGTGAAGATTGCCACCCGACAGAGGATGGCACCAAATCACGGCTTCCTGCTGCAGAACACAATGGCAGAGCCTGTGTCGCGTACTTATCAGTACCGGAAGGTGATGAAGCCGATGCTGGAGCGCAAGAGGCGCGCCAGGATCAATCGCTGCCTGGACGAGTTGAAGGAGCTCATGACCGGAGCCTTGCAGACGGTAAGGAAGAGCTCATGAGTCCTGCATCCCACCAGATACTGACCGGACTGTCCTCTTTTCTCCTCCCCAGGAAGGTGAGAATGTGGCGAAGCTGGAGAAGGCAGATATCCTGGAACTCACCGTGCGGCATCTGCACAGCCTCCGGCGTCAGAACGCTCTGGCCGTGCGTCCGGAGCACACCTACGCCGACCGCTTCAAGGCCGGTTTCCGCCACTGCGCCGCCGAGGTCACGACGTTCCTCAGTGGCATGGATCAGGCCACGAGGATGCACCTGGCATCGCACCTCAGCGGCTGCATTCGGCGCCTGGACGTGGCGCAGCCGCCAGTGTGGGCGGCGCCGCGCCCCGCCTTCAAGACTCCACCGCCGGCGGCGCCACAGCAGGCGCACACACCGCCGGTGCAGGACGACCAGGCCGTGGAGCCGTGGCGTCCCTGGTGATCTCGCCCACCTCCTTCGCAGCTGCAAATCAACGTCTTCCACCTCGCGGGCGCGCCCGCGATTCGAGACAAAAGATGGCAAAGATATTGATCCCTGTGATATTGTTACCTTTCCTGATAACAAAAAAGCAACCGCGCGAGAGGCAATTGTGTGACCAAAAGGACACAAGGCGCTGCAAAGATGATCCACACAGTAAAGACGACAGAGCGATCAAAGATCATTCATTTTGCATTGCGATTTCTAGATTTAATATCAACTGTAAGGCATTTATTTATCATTTGTAGTATGTTAAGGACTTCTTTTTTTCCTGAAGGAGAAATAAAGAATTAATTGAGCAATAATTGATCTTGGCGCTTCATCACAATTTCGCTTTCCCCTTGAAATTTGTCCCGCGCCTCGTGACGTCTCGAGAGCGCACCGTGGGAACCAAAGACAGGTGGTCGGATGTTTTCCTTGCCGTCCGCCCGAGAAGAAGTGGAGAATGAGAGGCAGAAAGAGGCAGCATTATTAAATATACAAATTATATCGGTGGTGATTATTGAAATGAAGCCGAGGGAGTCGCAGTTAGTAAAGTTTACAATTTACAATCCATGCCCACTTGGCTGGGGTGTGAAGGAATGTGCGCGCATCAGCACAGCTTCTGGCCAAATGGCGCACTGAGAGAAAGAAGCTGACCGGAATTAGGACATTACAAGACATCTTTTGACAACAAAGTGCTTTGTGGTCTTGTTTTTAGTCGCAAGTCAAAGAGATTCTTTAAATTTACACATTATTATTATTATTATTTATTCAAATTAAATTTTCACATATAAATCTAAATGTTTTCGTTCTAAAAACAAACTTTCTGCTGTCAAAACTACTGAGATTTTTTATTTTTTCTTTGTCTCGAGAACTGAAAAGCAAAAGAATAAGCTAAAACCCAAAAGTACCCCAATTCAGGATGTTCTGGACTTACTTGCAAGCTTATTGTTCAGAAAAGTAATTCCCAGAATGCTCAAATCTTGTTCTAATTGCTTCTTCAGTGATCTCAGTGCATGAAGAAGTCCACGGATGTTTATCTGGCTCTCAAAACACACGCATGCGATCTTTTCCGCTGATGCTGTGAGTTTTATGAATGAAAATTGCTGCGCAGAAAAACTCGCCCATCAATGGCAGTGATTGGGTATAAAAGAGAGCCTCTCTATTTTGATGTGTGAAGCCATAATTGAGATTTAGCGCGTCTGATTAGAGGGCTAATCAATTTCTTCTGCCGCGATACACATCTTGAGTCTATTCTGCGTCTGTGTGTGATTTTCTGTCGGAATTCTGTGCCTATTAATTCAATTACCCACTGACGATCACCGTGATTTTCCCAGCCAAAACCTCAGCATGTGGTTCACGATGGCGAAGGGCAAAAAGTGGAGAAGACAAGAGGAAGGCAAAAAGTCCCTTCCGAAGCAGCTCAAATGCAATTGGTTACGATTTTTTGCCACTGTTTGTCGATAATGCCAAGAACTATTGGTTTCTTGGGTGATTTATTGAATGTATCATGTAATTAATTTTGGTTTTTTTCGCACAATTTTTGCTTAGAAAAATCATTTAGGCTTCTTCAAGTCATCCGCAAAAGAATTTTTACGTTACATCCATTGAAGAATTGAAGGTTAATTTAGTTTCACGCATATTTCTTTTAGACTGTTGTATTGTCATAAATTGAATCCCAGTGATGGCGAGAAAAACACTGAATTAAATATCGATTTTCATATAAGAAGAGTAAGAAAATCAAAAATCCTTTTTCTTCTTTTTCTCTTACACTTTCTTAATGGTCCTCAAGCGATCGCGTGATTCTTCCCAAATCAATTTGCGTTCATTCTTGAGCAATCTCATGGCAGAAATTGGTCGTTTTGCACACATTGCGGAGAATTTGGACGCTGGCATTCGCCGCAGATCTGTCCCACGGGTCGATTGCCAGTGGAATGCGATCTCTCGTGATCCTCCCGCGATCCTCAGTGCCAATTCAGCAATGCTAATCTCGGCCGCGACAATTCTGCGATCTCTTTCCCAACCATCAGCCGTCCATCAGGCCTTATTATTTATCATAATCACCCAGTCGCTGGACGCCGTGTGAGACTTATATCTAATCTGGAGCACTTGAGCGTGTGCGTGCCCGAAGTCGCAGCGCAGTGACTCTCGCGCAGCGATCACTGAGCCTGCCAAGGGGGAGATAGTGTGCAGCGAAGCATCTTCAGTACTTCAGGTACTTTGGAAACAGAGCAAACATAACATAACCTAGAATAACTTCAGATTCAATCAAAGCAAAAAGAATTTTCTATTTCGCGAATACTTAAGTCATGCACAGGATACGTATTTTTATTAAATATGTATTAAAAGCTTTGATTTGCGACCAAAATCACAATGAGCGTCATTTTTCCGATTTTTGCATTATAATGATTTTAGCTAATTGTATGAAAATGTCTAATTTCCCCTATTTATGAAAAGTATTTCTTGAATTTCCCCCTTTGAGCTCGGCGTATGAATGAATTGCTGCACACGCGAGTTCGCGCATCTCCCTTGAGCGGCGACGACGGATTTGCGCGGGAATCGAGGCTCAGTCGCTGGCCGCGTGAGAGTCTTGGTGATCGCAGCCGCTGAACTGGAAATTGTTGCAGAAGAGAGACTTCAAATGTTTTGGGATCGCGGCAAGTTGGTGGTTCCCACGGAAAGGCAGCACATGCGCGATTGCGCACTTCTTGAACTCCCCGCCGCGATCTTCAGCTCGTGGCGGCACGAGTTCAGTGCTTCTTCAACTGTTGATCGCCAATTAGCATCACTTTTCGCCGCCATCCTCCGGCCAATTGACCGCGGCGATCGTCGTGCGATCATCTCCGCGCTGCGATGATCCGCAGGATTCAGCGAGAGCTTTTCCCGCCAGTCTGGCGCACAAGAGTTTGAGAAGCTTTCCGCGGGTGAGCAATAAAGCCAGTCGCGAGCTACTGTTAAATGAGCAGGAATTAAGAACCAGAACAAGAGGCGCAAAAAACGAGAATCATGCTGAATGAATGGGAAGACGACTACATTAGGTTTTTTCCCTCCGCGCGTCGAAAATTGCCTGTGAATTCAATATGTGGCGCTGAGGGATTTCACTGCCAACAATAGCACTTTTCTCGGCAAGAATCCCACAGTATCGCCACCCAGACGAGAGAGGCAAAGAAATCGCGCCGGGAGAAATATTTGAGAAATTCTGATGAAAGAGGCAAAAGAAAAGAATAAAACCTGCAACTTCGTGTCATCAATTTTTCATAACGAAAAACCGCCATGAAGTTCAATTCTCGCCGCGCGACTCACTAATTATAAATTAAACAATTAAATGAAGCAACTGTTGGGTTTTTTCATCTTCTTGTTTGCCGTACGTATAAAAAGCAAAAAAAAAGACGAGGAAGCGCAGTTCCATGAAAAGTCTCTCTCTCTGTAATATGCTTTCTTTGCCATTATGGAAAGGCGCGCGCGCCGCGCCTTTTGATATTATATATTTTGCACACGGGAAAATTCTCCATAGCTGAGCTATGATTTATTGGGATTGCGCGGCATTTTGCCGTAATTGAACTTAATGTATCACGAGCCATCTTTTGTCAATATTCATTAGAGCCAACTCTTCTGAGACTCTCCGGGATGGGAAAAAGCAATGCGAATTAATTGCTGCTGAGCCTTTTTCTCACCAACTCTCATTGTCTCTCAGGTCCTCAGCTAAACCTGTGCACCGCCCAGAAGCCACTCAAATAGTGTGTGAAGTGGAATGCGTTGATCAAATTACGGTCTATGTGGAAAAAGCAAAGTGAAGAAAAACACAATTATTATGTACACAGCATAAAAGTGTAATAATATTTCGTGATGAAACGGTGAGAGACACAAGATGCGATGATAATGAACTGTTGACGGGGTTAATGACAAGATATTGTGAAGAGATTTGCCAGGAAATTGAGTCTAATTTGGCCATTTTTCCAGTCTCACTCTTGAACTTCTTGCATGAGAGACAAAACGCCATGCAATTGTGCAGAACAGTCAATTTTTTTAGAGCTTTAAACGTAAACCAAACAGTAAATGTTCCGCTTAACCGAAAGTATCACTTAAGATTATAATGAAAATTTTTTAAGTAGATTCATTCAAAAGAAGATTTGTCGATATCTCTAAGAATTGTTGACATATTTGGAAAATAAACCCTGATTTGGAAAGCTACTGAAACACTGAAAACACAAATGATAAATTTGTAAATTGGTTTTTAGGCAGATTCTTTTCGAATTTCCAGATCAAGCTAAGAATGAATGTGCAAATGATTCAAAAAGCCATTGAATGAGATTAAAATACGTTTTTAATGCGTAGTCAAAGTTCTTGGAAATGTCTGTGAGCATGCAGAAGGTCAATTCTTCACTGGATGCGACATGGAATCCGCGGCGTGATCCTCTTAACCCCAAAACTGGCGCCCAAGGGCGGCCAGCGCATGTCAGCCCTCGAAATTGTCGCTGGTGCAGATCAATGACTCGCGCGCGATCGTGCAACGGGACGCTGGAAAAAAGCTGTACCATTGCGTGCCTTTGGGTCGTGGGGTAATTTGAGAACTTCCTGCTTGTGCCAATTGATTTTTTCCCTGTGTGTCACAATCGCGAGACGCGCAGAAGAATTTGAGCAAAATAAATAACTCAAATTTCTGCTCTTCTCGGCAAAGTTGATAAAATGTTGCGATTTTCCTCGAAGATATTGTTTTTGTTTGCACCCGCGGCGGAATGGGTAATCGCCGTACGAAAATTCCCTCAATTCCTCGCGATCACGCATCGAATCGAATTCGACACGACGCTCTGAGGCAGCAGAAATTCAAGCGAGAGCCCAAAAATGATACGCATCTGTTTGTCCGCGGCGATTTTGCTTACACGAGCTAAAAAGCGCCGGAGAATCGCGACAAGAAGTGTCGTGGAAATGTGTGTGGAAAATTGATCGGCACAGGATCAAATCGCAAGATGACTGAAGATTTCTGGCGCAATTTCTTGCACGAATTCATCAATTTTTCCTCTCTTCTCACACAAATTCTCTGGTGGCAAAAGCCTTAAGTGAATCACTGGCAGAAACTATGAAGTCATCGGCAAATTGCTGGTGTTGAACTTTGCAAATTTGTCTCTTTAAATCCTCCCCTCGTTTAGGGAAAATTCCAGCCACATGTTGACTTTCTTCCCGCGCTTGAGAGTCAAAAAATGTCTATTTTTAGAGAGGTTGATTCGTGGGAATTTCTCTGATGAGCACACAAGAGTCTCTCACTTCAGTTCCATCCAAACCATCCCTCGAGGAAGACATGGAAAGCGCGCAGGAAAAGTCTCAGGCGTTCAGTGACGGCTTCAAGTGCTGCACAGACGAAGCCCTCAAGTTCCTGCGCAGCTTGCAATCGGCGCAACAGCATCCTGGCTTGGCGGAGAGGATTCTCAGACTACAGGACGCCGAGGTGGCGAGGAGTTCCAGCGGAAAAGCTAGCCAGGCGATTCTGGAGAGGATCCGACGGAAGATCTTCGAGCGGAGAAGAAGAAAGCGAGAGATCTGGAGGCCGTGGTGAAACCCAAGAATCACTGTAATATATTTGTACAATCAGAGCACGAAGGGAGGCAATAAATCTATCTGAGAAGAAATTCCAGGATAAATTGTGAGCTTAAAAACTAATTGGAAACTTCAGTTGAGCTTGAGTTTGAGAACTTTTCCGGCTCTCAATAGTCTACATCATAAACAGTTCAGTGACTGGAGAGCCCTGGAAGGCATCTTATTCATCTTATGCTGAGAAGAGGACTTCAGACTAACGTTTCATGATTGCTTCTAAACAAAAAATTTGAATTGAACTCTCTTTCTGATTAGCCAAGACACACACCTCATTTCGGCTACGGCCAGCGCTGGCTGCCGTTACTCTACGCTGGATTTGAATTGCGATTTCGCCGCAAGTATGGTGAATTTTTCACCTCTCGATGTGGTGACTTTCGCAAAGCGCAGTCCGCAGAAAACTAGCGTGTGTGTGACTCGGAGTGTTTACATTTATTGGCTTTCTCAACTGCTGGTAAGAAATCCCACTGTATCTTTTCTCAAGCATCTGTTCTTGGGGGTTTCGTGGGTAGATTTTGTGTACTAATCGATGTGCAAAAGTTGTGTATTTGGTGGTCAAACGCGCTAGACGCCGGTAATGGGAGATGTCAAAGACTTCAATGGTTTTGACTGAATTTCCTGAGAAAATATACAAAGACCTACACGGAATGCATCTTCTACAGATTCTTTGATGTCCTGGGAATAGATTTAGTGAAATTTCCGATGCGCAAGCAGTGAATTATCTGTGGAAAATTGAAAAGAAATTTGGGGGGAAGCGCAGAGCGGATTATTGGTTAGGAACTCCCGGAAGCCTTTGCTATGCGTACAATTCTAAGGAAGTCCTTGAAAAGCTAAGGTTTTTATTTTTCTACCTGTGTTGAGTCTCAATTTTGCATGGTTTCATGTGTTTCTCTCCTTTGCAGGCATGTCGGATAAGCACTACTACGAGCACGACTACCGCGGGGATTCGCGGGATCGCGGCCGGTCGCGGGATTATGGCTCTGACAGAGGACACAGAGACAGAAATGGGCGACGGGATCACGGCGAGGGCAGCAGTAGATATGACGATCGCTCGCGGTCGCGCAACGAAGGGAGAGACAAATACTCACCGAGCAGATATGAGTCGTCATCGCGGAAGTCCTCATACCAGTCGTCCAGGGACTACGATGACTACGACCAGCCGCGCGCCTCGTCCTCCAAGCCATACTACGAGAGTAGCTCATCGAGATTCGACCGGGAGTCAAAGCCGAAATCGTCGTTTAAACCTAGGAATGACGGCGGTGGACCATCGCGTGGCCCTGGAAAGCCCAGAGGCGGTGGCGGTGGCGGAGGAGGCGGGCGTGGGCGTCGCACGAATCGCGCCATCACGGATCTGACTGTGACACGCCCGCCGACCATGGAGTCGAAGAGAGGCCAGTCTGGCAGCAGCATCACGGTTCTGGCGAATTACTTCCGAGTGCTGAAGAAGCCCGAGTGGAACATCTACAAGTACCACGTGGACTTCGCGCCGCAGCTCGAGCAGCTGACGCACAAGAAGGCCATCATGCGACGCCACGTCTCAAAGCTGGGCTCCTTTCAGTTTGACGGCAACATGATTTACTCGCCATTCAAGTTCGGCTCGGATCCGCTGATTATCGTGGACAAGGATGAAAATGACGAGATGATTCAGATCACCATTCGCTTTGTGGGAACTCTCCTGTCCACGGACGGACAGTACACGCATCTGCTGAATCTCATCATGAGGGCCACAATTGAGAGTTTGAACATGCAGAGAGCTTATGGACCGAAAGGCACCAAATACTTCGATGCTCTGCAGAAGGTGAGACAGTTCTATTTTCGCTACATAATTGGTGACTAAAGTGTGCTTCTCTTGGTAGATCGACATCAACACGCAGCATCTGCAAGTGTGGCCAGGATTCTGCACGGCCATTCGCCAGCACGAACGCGACATAATGATCTGCACAGAGTTAACACACAAAGTCATCCGCATGGAGAATTGCTACAATGTCATGCAGCACTACGCGAGGGATCAGCAGGCGGTGAAGAAGGAGTTGATTGGTGAGTGAATTCATTGTCAACAATAATTTATGATGCAGAGTTTATCACAGAAAAGTTGAAGATTTTGGATAAATGTCTCTTTTTGCACTGCAAAGTTCTTCAAATGTTCTTGTCTCCCTGCAGGCAAAGTCGTCGTGACGGAGTACAATAATTCGACGTATCGCATCGACGATGTGGACTTTGCTCTGTCGCCGTCGTCGTCGTTTGTGAAGAAGAATGGCGAGAGGACGACATTTCTGCAGTACTTCCGTGATCGCTACAACTGCAACATTCGTGACACGCGTCAGCCGTTGCTTGTGTCGCGCGCCAAGGCAAAGGATGTGCGCGCCGGGCGTCCGGAGGTGCTGAATCTGGTGCCGGAGTTGTGTCGGCTCACGGGACTCACGGAGGAGATGCGCACGAACTTCCGACTGATGAGGGATTTGGCGCAACACACGCGCATCAAGCCGGACTTGCGCGTGAAGCGCTACCTTGAGCTGAATCGGCGCATTCACTGCGAGGACAAGGCTCGCGAGGTGATGAAGAAGTGGGAGATGGATCTGGATCGACATCTGGTGGAGTTTCCGGCGCGTGTGCTGCCGACGGAGACAATTTTCTTCGGGGACAGGCGCGAGGAGAGGCCCGTGAATGCGGACTGGACGGGCGCAATGACGAGGAATAAGTTATTCGAGACGGACAGAGTATCGAATTGGCACTGCATCTGCACGAACAGGGATTACAGCCAAGGAGTATGTATTTTTGTTGTTTGTTGGGGTTCTCGTACAGGAGGCGACAAGCGACCATTTTAAGAAGAAGAAGATGTATAGTTAAATTTGTGTTTCGTGGTGAAGTGAATTCGCGGGAATTTAAATTTAAACAATTCTTTTTTCACGGATTTTCATTATTTTATTTAAGTTGTGAATGTTTGAATTTTCTTTTGCTCCTGTGAAGCCGCCCACCCTTTTTTCCTATACATATTCGCCCTTCTCTCCTTCTCAATTAAGTGATTATTTTGGTAAATTATTTTGTTTTTAATTCTCTGCTTCACATAAGTATTCAACACATCTTTTGAATATCTGCTGCAGTCCACATTTTCATTAATAAATTCACACGTGTCTCTTAGAACATTTTTTTTCACTTTAAAAGTGAGATGAAAATCGTGGAATCTTTCGAAGTAAAATTCAACTTTCTCGCAAAAATTAATGAAATCCTCACTAGGCACAATTAGTCCTCCGTAGGATAACTGTTGAACATATGATGTCCTTTCGGTCAGGTTGCACGACCTCGTGCCTATATGAGGAATGTCATCAATAAATTTGCTGGCAACAAAGCCAGCAATATATTCCATTCCATCCACTCTTTGTTGCGAGAATTTTGCTGTATTATCAATATAGTCGTGGTGGATGGAAATTGTTTCCCTATCAGACGAATGATTGCTGGCGTCTTCATTCTCTGCGGCATCCATCATTGGCATGGGAAAAATGTCCTGTATATTAGGTGAGTTTAACACGCTGTGAATGAGGCATTCATCCTCAATTACGTGCTTTAAAATGTTGACATTTTTCCCACCCTGTATATCTTGCCTACTCAAAATTAGTTGACGAATTCTCTCAATAACGTCGACAGGCGTCGGATTATTATTTCCATTGCCTTTGCCTCTGACTTGAGAGAAGAAATTTTCGAGGCAATCTTGATTTAGCCGACTGGTCAATATATATTGTATGGAGAATTTGTCAAACATCTCTTTGTACAAATTTCTCAACGACCGAATCTAGAATAGGAAGAAATAAAATTAAGAATATTTTACGAAGTTTAAGTCACACATTTTTACAAATGATTCTTACCGACATTACAATCCCCTTTTGAAAATAAAGGAGTCGCACTTTCTCATTCACTCTCATGCTCAACATCAGCTTCTCCATATCATTAAGGACTTTATCATGGATGTCCATGTTGAGTCCGTAGGCAAATTTCATTGAACCTTCTGAATCCTGGCATTTCTCAAAAGCGGGCTCATACACATTAAATATATCAAACCAATTGTTCGCCAATTCGATGATATCACTGAGCTTTTGTGCATCTGAATATTGCGGAAGATACCTTTTCAGCTGAACTGCAGTCTTGTGGGAAATTATTTGTCCTGCTAATTTAACGTTTTGTCTTTTTACCGAAGATATTTCCAGATGTTGCTGTTTCAAATTTATATTTGAGATGCTATCTCCACCCATTCGAACTATTTCTTCAAGTGGCCTTTTAGTGACTTTCGTGCCATCATCAAGCATGAAACCATTGTCGATTAACCAATTTCTGAATAACTTGAGCAAATGAGGAGCATCGGCGAATATATGGACTTTCTCTTGTGTGCTGGGATGAAGAAAGAATGGATTTTCGAAGTTTGCTTCCAATTTTTTCCACAATCCTTGATTTGCGCCTCCACCATCACAGACAATTGCCTTCACCTTGTACTGTATATTTTCCAAAATACTGAGAATATGAAATAGGAGCTTCTTCGTGACTCTTTTATCAAAATCTGTATAAATCACTTGTTTCCACGGCGAAAACAAACCTCTTACCATAATTACCTTTAAAGATATATCAATTTTTTAGGTTATTTGTTGAAATCGGTCAATCCTTTTAGACAATGACAAGTAAATCATTTCAATTGGATGATATTGTTTATTCATAAATCTCTTAAACTAAGAAATGAACATGTTGATATGAAATAATCTTAAATTTATATCGTTTTCAGAATTCAGGAGTGGTTTGAATTAATTAATGAGTCAAGAAAGCAGTACAAGATTTTAAAAACGTATAGAAATCAACTTTCAATGTTTATTTCGCTAAATAATCTGCATATATCTTACCTGGATGTTTTTGTGAGATCCATAGACAGTGTCTTCGCGTTCATTATACTCATATAATTTAGATATTGCCATTTCGTCAAAGGAAATCACACAAGTTCGCTGAAATTCCGTCATTGTTTGAGCTGCTGCCATCATCATAGTCAAGACACTGCTGAAGATCCCAGCAGTAATCTCAAATTTAGCTGCATAGCGCTGCAGAGATCTAATGCTGGGTTGAGGGATGCGTATCAGATTCGTGATGGTATTATACGTTGTAGTGCCAAGATATCTAAGGGCAAATGCCTTAGATAACTCTTCATTTGTCCACTTCACTTTCTTCTTCCGTTTCAGCAGCAGGTCCACTTGATTTGGGGTGAGAATCTGCAACACAGCATCTTTCAGTTGCCTCAATTCATGCAATTCTTTGTCTTGTGTCGTCTTCTGCTCTGCTGACGACGATGCTGTTAGAAAAAATTAATGAATTCCATATAGAGTTATTGAATATTATAAAAAAAAAAATAACTTACCAATCGATTGATCTTCCACTGTCTCCTCATAATCCGAAATAATTTCGATTGTGTTGTCGAAGAGCATATCTACTTCCGATTCTTTGTCACTTCCGGCTTCATCGCGGATCACATCATTCAGCTCTTCATCCTCGTCTCTCAAGACTGCAGTTCTCTCCTCAAACTCATCTCCATTACCGCAGTGCATGATCTTTGCGTAGGAATGATCCCCTGTGAAATACGAGAGCACATTTAAGTCAATCAATTTACACATATTTCTATTCTGAAACTTACATAGAATTGCAATCTCTGGGTTGAGAGATTGGATGAGGTCCAGACTCGCATCTGGATGAGCCCGGCTCAGCTCTGGAGATGTCCAAACTTTCGTCGGGAAAACTGAAAATTATTATAGATGAAATAATAAAAAAGAACAACCTGCATTGTATATAAATCATTACCTCCCTTCTTCAATCTCCTTCTGCACTTCCACTCTCCCTGCAGAGCTCGGGAAGTGGGGTGGAAATCGTCAGGCAGGAAGTGGTCAGAGCACACTCTGATGATCTTCTTCTCAATACCTGACGACTTCTTCAAGATTTTCCTCCACTTCCTCACCACCTTCTCACTCTCGTGGTGTGGGAGTTGGTGGAAGGAGACGTGGGGATTACATCCCTGGATATTCTCACAGCCAATTGCACTGCAATTCATTTTTCTTCAACTTTTGCACAGAAAATTGACAACTAGAATGCGCGAAATGAATGAATAGTTGGTTTATTGTGACTTCGCGCGAAAAGAAAGTCGCGATGAAAAATAGTATGATCAAAATAACTGCCGAATTTTTCGCTAAAACCTAACCTCAAATAGACGATGTCGCCTCCTGTACGAGAACCCCAACAAACAACAAAAATACATACTCCTGCATTGTGCAGAAGTTTGTGGGCTTCATGCTGACGAGCGCGAGAAATGTGGGCTTGAGTGTGGCCGACCCGAGGATCATCAGGATTGACAATCCGCGCGTGCAGGCGTACATCAATGCCATAGAGCAGGCGTGTAATGATTCCACGCAGATCATCCTGTGTGTGGTGCCTAACCAGGATGCCAACAGGTATGGTGCCATCAAGAAGAGGGCGTGCGTGGACAGGGCCGTGCCCACGCAGGCCGTGCTCACCAAGGTGCTGTCGAATGAGAAGATCCTGAAGAGTGTGTCGGCGAAGATCATGGTGCAGATGAACTGCAAGCTGGGAAATGTGCCGTGGACGGTGAAGATTCCGGCCAGTGGCATCATGACGGTGGGCTTCGATGTCACGTACGATGTGAGGGACAAGAGGAAGTCCTACGGCGCACTGGTGGCCACGATGGATCTGAGACAGTGCAACTCATACTTCAGCACGGTGTCTCAGCACACGCACGGTGAGGAGATGAGCAATTTCCTGGTGGTGAACATGATGAAGGCTCTAAAGCAGTATCAGCACATCCACCAAGATCCACCCAAGAGGATCATCTTCTATCGCGACGGCGTGGGCGATGGCGATGTCACGCACGTGATGGACCACGAGGTGAGGAGGCTGTCGCTGGATCTCAAGACAATGTTTGGCGAAAGTGCGCCCAAGCTGACCTTCATCATTGTCACGAAGCGCATCAACACACGTCTCTTCACGAAGGACATGCGAGATTTTGTCACGAATGCGCCACCAGGAACTGTTGTCGATGACGTGATCACGCAGCCCGAGAGGTATGATTTCTTCATTGTGTCACAGTGCACGAAGGAGGGCACCATTGCGCCCACATCCTACAACGTTGTCTTCGATGAGTCGGGCTTCTCGCCCGACAAGATCCAGATTTGGACGTACAAAATGACGCATCTCTACTACAACTGGAGCGGGAACGTTAAAGTGCCCGCGGTTTGCCAATACGCGCAGAAGCTGGCCTTCCTCGTTGGCCAGTACATCAATCAGGAGCCGACGCACTTACTGGAGCGGAACCTGTACTTTCTCTAGGGATTTTCCCGACTTTCCAAGGGTTGAGAGTGATCTTTCACCCCTCAAATTCACCCATTGCACTGTTTTTTATTGCTATATTTTTTTCAAAATGCTGTTGATTTAGAGAAGACATGTGTACAATAAGTTGCCAGAGATGTGGAGAATTTCCACCAGAATATGTGCTGTAACTTTGTTCATTAAAATCCATTAAAACATTAAAGTTGCGTCGATCGTGAGTTTACTTTGCGTTTTCCGAAACACTCTTGACGGTTGAGTGTTTTCCGGAAGTTCGAATATTTCGCCGTGCCTATGCAGCAAGCATTCGCCGCAGCAGAAGCATCACGCAAAAGAAGTTTTTGGTGGTTTTCGTGGTTTTCTGGAGAAATAATCGCACAACAGGGCCAGGAGGATGAGAGACGATCCCATACAGAATCTTAAGATTGTGCAGCTGGTGGAGAAATACCCACTGCTGTACGACAACACGCTGAAGGAGTATGACATGAAGCAGGAGGTTGAGAAGGCTTGGAACGCCATCGGGAGTGAACTGCGAATGGCAGGTAATTTGACCCAGGAAAATTGGCGACCGGGAAGGTGCTAAATGTGATCTACTTGGCAGGAACGATTGTCCGGGATCGATGGCGCGTGATTCGGGGCAGCTATGTGAGGTACATGCGACAGCAACACGGACTCAGCGATGGCGAAGCACCCAAGAAGCCTTACTATTTGGCCAATTACATGAAGTTCGTGAATCCCTTCCTCAAGTCTCGGGAATCTTATCCCGCCTTTGAGCGGAAGCGCCTCACACGGAGCCGCCGGCTGAAGTCGCCACGCGAGAAGACGACTTGTGTGATCAGACTGAAGCGGAACAGCCCAGAGGAGTGCACAGCCGATCAGGAATCCCAACCAGTGGCTGAGGACAACTCGATTTCCATTATTGAGCAATACTACGAGGATGAGCAGAACAACGTGGAGGAATCCACGGCGAAGGAGAGCGATCTGAAGCACGTGGAGCTGTACAACATCGCGGAATCCTCGTCGTCCTCCCACCGCTATACTGTCATCCAGACGGACAAGGGCGAGGACGTGGCCAAGAGTCCCACCAACACGGACATCCAGTGGCAGAAGGTGGACGTGGAGGAGGACACGGCGGACCTGCACTTCCTCAAGAGCCTCCTGCCCGAGATGGCCAATCTGACGCCAGCGCTGAAGAACAAGTTCAAAATCCAGATCCTCAACTCTCTCAACAATCTCCTGTACGGCGAATAAAACGCCTGCCGGACAAACAAAGTGTATCATCGCATTAAATCCTTCGGAAATGTTTCACTAACAAAAGAATTCTTTTTTTTATTATTGAGAATGGAATGGAAGAAAACATAATTAGTGGCAAGAGTGTGAATCTAAACACCAATATAATCTCGGAGAAGCCCCCAGAAAACCGCACATAAGTCAGCCCAACGCCCTGGAATTCCTGCCGATCTCACAAAACTAAAGCCCTGAGCAGTGAATCATAAATTAAGATAGAAAGAGAGAGAAGATCTACAGCACAAAGGGAAGAATCGCCTTCCTCTGGCGCGGATAGTCCTTGAACTCCTTCCGGTAGTTGCGATGCTTGCCCAGCGCCCACATTGTCATCTGGTACATCCCGGCGGCCGTGAACAGCAGCGCCGGCAGGCACTGCGTGAGGACGGAGAAGGAGAGCCAGGACAGGACCTCGTACGTGTAGTTCGGACAGGAGACGAAGTTGAAGAGAGCCGTCAGGGGATTGGCGTCCGGCCGTGGAATCTTGCGCACGGACGTGCCGGGCGGGCGCAAGTTGCGCAGATTCATGTGGATGCTGAAGTTGCCCAGCTCGCTGATGAGGAACGCCGCCAGGCCCGCATACACTTGCATTGTGCACGGCGACGTGAATAGCGGGTGATTCACGTGATAGGCCACATAGGCTGCAAAAAGAGGGAGTTCATGTTTATTTGCACGCTGACTTCACAATCTGACGTCATGCTGACCGAATCTCTTAACTTAAGACTTCATGCACTTGAATTTCCCACTTCCTCAAGATCGATGTGGGGAAAGATTAGACAATTTTGCTCTGGAATGTTATGTAAAACGCGATAAGCTGTTAATCGGACAGCTTAACTTGGCGGCACACGCGTCTCATAAATGATTGATCAGAACAGAACAATAAATATTCTAGTTCTTTGAATACTTAGAAATGCAAAGAAATTGATGGAAATGTGATTTTTTTTTTCAATCTCTTTGCGTTTTCGGAGAGACCTTTTGGGCGCTTTCAACTCGTCTCTCTCATTGCCAAACAGGTTGAAAAGTGATTAAAGAAGGCCCTGAAAGCACAATGCTGCGCCATTGCATTTCCTTGGGGAAACTGGTGGGAAACCCGGGGCGGGTGTTACCTGTGAAGCCCCAGTAGTAGGCGCAGTTCTTGAACAGGTTCCTCAGCGGCATCGTGGCGTGGCTGAAGCGGTGCACGAAGATCGTCTCCAGCAGCCTCTTGGCGTAGTGCAGCGTCCAGCAGGCCGCGGCGATGCTGCAAAAGAGAAATTCGGCGCGGTCAGTGTTGTGCTTTTTTTGCGCCTTTTCGGGCGGGCTGACGTCCAGTGTCGCGATGGATAATTATGCAATGGTTGGTGGCCGCGAGGCGAAAAGAAGGTTGATTAGCAAGTAAATGAGGTGGGAAAGTGTGAAAATATGGGGGGATTTGCATAAATTTCTGGGAATCATCGTCCCGGGAAGGGCGACTCACTGGGCGGTCTGGTGCACGGGCGCACGCGTGTCGCCGTAGAAAAGCCAGGGGCGCTGGTAGATCCACAGGTAGACGATCAGGGGCCCCGCGTACTCCGCCAGGAAGACCGTCGTCCAGCTAATCTGCGGCCCCAGGTCCTTCACGTACAACTTGCTGCCGTCACGGATGCCCAGCGACTGCATGGTCTCGCTGTCCTTGAGCGCCTTGCCCTTATCCGCCAGCCGGATGGCCTGGCGGTCCACGTTGAGCGCCTTCCGGGCGCTGTACACCTGCCTCTTCACCTCCGCCACCGTGGAGTTGGGCTGCAGCTGGCATTTCGTCAGCAGCTTCGAGTTGTGGGCAAACAGCACTTCGACCTGCAACGAGTCCCGAAACTGAACAGGGATTCACAGGAGAAACGCAATGCGCGCTCACTAACCTCCATTCTCGCAAGTCACTTCTCGGCAAATGAAAGCCACTCGACTGAAGATCGCGACTTGCCCGTGAAAAAGGCCAAGACGCGGCCGAGAGACTCGGCGGAATGCTCGAACTTGCTCAAAAACTTTCTCATCATGCTGAAAATCAATGTCTTAAATTTATGTGCTTTTTTGGGGCAATAAATAGACTAAAGATATGTGTTATCAGAACAAAGTAAGGCGAAAATCTATAAACCATTAAATTCAATTCATCAACTAAATAAATACTTGGCTTGATAATAAATATTTATTTGCTATTCAGAACATTACTTCTTCTTTTCTCCAGCAACCAATCGAGAGCATCTCGTTGAATATTTCGCGTTGTGAGTCGTGAAATTTCGAGGGGCCGAGCTTTGAAATAACGAACAATGTAATCATCAAATTTTCTTTATTCACTTAATTACAATTTAAACGTGGAAAACAATGCAATTCAATTGAGAATTTCTACCGCTCCTCGTCTAGAGGATTTGCACTCCAGCCTGGGAGCAGTACTTGTTCAGGATCTGCCCGGCCAGCGCCGGCATTTTGTGAATCAGCTGCGGAATCTGCCCAGGATTGGCAGCCGACAGCTTTGCCAGGCTCTGCACCAGACACATTCGTCCATCTGCCACATCGGGATATGGATCGTTGGCCTTGGGCTGGGCGTAGTTGAGTTGCGAGTAGGCAACTTGATAGCCCGGTGTGTCCTCGATCTCTATGAAGTCATCGTCGCCCTCGGTGACGGCGTCAGGTTGCGCCTCGAACACCTGAATGAGAGCTTCCATGAGACGCGGCCAGAACTGGACGTAGGGCTCCGTGAGCATGCTCGGGCACTCGCACAGGATCCGCGCCATGCCTACGGCCACAATCTTCTTGTCCACCTCGGCCGAGATGCGATTGAGATCGGGAATGAAGACGCGCTCCAGCACCATGCCGAACATCTGCGCCTGAATCTCATCGATCATCTGCACGAGATTTTGACTGCCCACTTTACCGGCGTAGAAGCTGAAGAAGATGATGAGGCCGCGTATGTACTTTGTGGTCTTGGACAGACTGAGGCGCTGGAAGAGCAGCACGAAGATCTGCCTGAGACTCTGCTGCAACTCCTGCATGGGATAGTGCAGCAGCAACGTCTGCAGCAGGTAGAATCCCTCGTGGTCATTCGTTTTGGAGGCAATCATCTTCTGGAACACACCCAGCACAGCATTCAGCTTGCTGTACGCCACAATCTGCCCAGCACCCTGTCGAATGTACGCACAGATCAGCCTGATGAGGGGCGTCACATTGCCCGGACGATCCCAGAGCAGCGGCGACAGGAGGAAGGGAAACAGCGCCATGTACGGCTCTGGGATCGTCGGCACGCCCTCGCGCATCTCCAGCAGCAGCGACAGGAGCTGAAACACGTACGGGATGAACTCGAGGATGTCCTGCTGCAGAATGTTCTGGAAGATGGGAAACAGGGCCTCCTCGAAGGACTCCACAGCACTTGTTTGCGCCTTGCACACCACCTTTATCGACAGCGACAGCGTCTCGAAGAGGTAGTGATTGAAGTGCGGCTTCGACGGATTCTTCGACACCATCGTGAGGATTTGCGTGAGGCGCGGCAGCACGATGCTGCCCATGAAGGGTAGTGCGCCCTCTTGCAGCACAGAAGTGCACCTCATGATCGCCTTCATCACGTACTCATTCTCCGCCGATCCGGTCAAGTCTAGCGTCCCGAACAGGCCAGTGTACAGATCACTGGCGAGCGGAGACAGTTCAGCGGCCGTGATGGGCGCCTTCTGGCCAGGAGTGCGAATCATCAGGATCTTCTCAATGGCGCACGCCGCATAGCTGTGCACAACGACGCTCTGTGCCTGGAAGGAGGAAAAGAGTTACGCTTGTCAGCCAATTCTCTCGATAAAGCGTCCAGTTCAAGCTCACCTGCAAGTGGCGAATGATGAGCGGCAGACACGCCACGACGCTGCTCGTCTCCAGGCAGCTGCGAAAACTGATGAGGAACTTGAGGGCGTCCGCCTTTAACACTGGCATCTCATTCACATTGCTCCTCTCCAGCTCGGGCACGATGTGTTGCTGGCAAAACTGCGGCAGAGGCACGAGTTCAGACGTCTGCGTGACGCCGTGGCGCTGCGTACTTCCGCGCGACGCCAGCGAAGTGACCAGAAAGATGGCCGTGTCCTTGGCTCGCCAATTCCCCTGTGGATTCGCCGAATGACGCGACAGCAGCACCTGCAGATACTGACTGAAAATCTCGAAGATCTTCGCCTCGAACTTCTGCGAGAGAATCTTCACGAGATCACACGCCGCCCGCCGCCGAGTGTCAATGTCTGATCCCTCGATGTCACGACGAATGTACTCCTCTGGGTTGTCCTCGAACAGCTCCTCATCCGACGCCCTGAAGTCCATGTTCGGAATAATGACCTTCTCGCAAATGCTGGCCAACACGTTGGGATCCTCGAAGAGGTGCCGATAGTGACTCCTGTCCGCCACTGTGCCGAGGAACGTGAGCGCGTGCGACACGAGTGTGTCGTACTTGGTCTGATTGCCCGTGTTGACCAGCAACTCCCACACGGCAGTCACGAACTGCGGCATGTACGGACTGAACTCCTCGTCGTACTTCTGCGCGTACAGGCAGAGATTCTCGCAGATTTGGGAGCGCAACTGCTCCATCACGCCCGCCTCCTCGTCGTCACCGGTGCGCAGGAGGGGCACGTCTGTGGTGAGCATAGTGAGGAAGCTGGGCATCCACGTGGGCATGTTGTCCTCGAAGAACTCCGGCAAGTCCTGATAATTGAGCGAGTAGAATACCTTGCAGACCAGCACCAGAGAGCCATAGATCACTTTGAGCGCCTGCTGGTTGCCGGCATGCGTCGTGGCGAGGTTCATGGTAGCCACGAGGAGATCCGTCAGTGGCTTAGCCAGCTTGTCCAGCACTAGCTTGATCTCCAGCCAGAGAGTCTGGCTCTTGAACTCGTAGCGGTAGCGTTTGAAGAGACTGTGACCCGTCTGCAGGATGCCGTTGATGACATTGAAGTCGCCAGTGGCAAACTTCTCCACCATCTCATCGATCAGCTGTGGCCACTTGTCCGGGAAGTCGTGTTTCCCAATGATACTCACAGCGTCGCTCAGCTGCTTCTGCGTCGCCGTGGGCGATTTCAGCATCAGCGTCACAATAAGTGTCTTGATGGCCGTGCGATCAGTTTCGTGAATCTTGTCCGCCTTGCCCTCCTCCGGATCGTGATACCAATTCCTCTTCACGTAGTTCTTGAACGTCACGGATCCGGCCACTCGGATTGTCATGTCCAGGTCCTCCTTGTCGATCAGATGCAGCAGTAGGATTGGGTAGTTCTGATTCCCTTCCACGCTCTCTAGGAACTGCTCGGCTGCAAGACGGAGAAAAAGGCGTCAGGCGCCCCCAAAGCCGTGACATTCTCCTTAACCTCACCTGGGCGTCGAACGTTGGGATCCGGGCTCAGCGTTTGCTGCAAGTACTGCGCCAGGAGGCGGAAGTTCTCCTCATTCAGGTCCATTAGGGCCACGGGAAGGAGTCACAGTGAGAAAATTGTACAAAATATATGTGAAAATGCAAAAACAAAGCAAATTTGGCCAGACACGATCGCGCTTCTCGCTTCCTTTTTGACAACAACTGCGCTCCGGAATTTCGAAAATCACTTTTCGACAGATTCGGAGCTATTTGACAGCTGCCATCTTTATTTACATTTTCAGTAGTGAAAGCATTTTCAGTATTTCACGCATTTCAATGAGTTTCCTATGATATTTCTCTAATATTAGTGCTAAAAGAGATTCACGATATTCTCAGCTTGACCATGGGTGAGTGAAAAGTGGAAAATTGAAAAGTATTAGTGGGTAAATTGATGTGTTTTGCAGAGTATGAAAAATCTCGAAACAGCACTGCAACACGTTCAAGACAGGGCAGAACAACATCGGCACAGTATGATCGCTATATCAGATTTCTGGCCAAGCATCCCGCTGTGCTGAATTCCTCGCACAAGGACTACAATCGCCTGTGGAAGGATCTCACTGCCGAGCTGAATACGCAGGGCCCGGCGTTCTCGAGAAGGTACTGGCAGGGAAGGCTGCGGAATTGGCAATATCAATTGATTGGGAAGCAGAGAAGGAACGCCACACTGTCACCAAGGGACATCCGGGCTCTGCAGTTGATTGGGAAGATAAAGCCCTTGATAAAGCCTGATGTAGAGACCCGCGAAGTCTCTGAATCTGAGGAATCTCAAGGTATTCAGCGCAATGACTTGAAAGTTGACTCGTTTGGTGTAATTGTTGTTATTCTTCAGGCTTTGGCAACGGTGATTCTTATCTGATTCCTATTGAGAGCTACCGGCAGAAGGCTAGCAGAACCAGCAAGGATCAGCACTATGCCTTCGTGGAGTTCTTAGAGAAGCATCCGCACATCCTGGATGCCTCTCAGGATGTGCGGATGTCCTCAGGTTACAGAACGATGTGGAAGGAACTGGCGGGGATATTGAATGAAAAAGGACCTTATCGCAGCACTGGACAGTGGCAGACGCTTCTCCGAGGCTGGCGCAATGGCATAGTCGCAAAGAATAAGCGGGCAAAGCAGCAGGGCGTCTGCAATCTCACGGAACTGGAGAAGAAACTGTTGAAAATCATCAGTCAAATTCCCCATCATGTCACATATGCGGAGAATTCTTCTGATGATGATTCGCTGACGGCTAAATTGGATATGGATGAAAATGAGCTCATGGAGGAGACTCAGTCGCACTCTGAAGAAATTTTGGCGGATACTTTGCCAGAGAATCCAGACATATCTTCTGTGTGGTTCACAGAACCCAAGAAGGAGATCATCCTGGACGTGGTGGATGAAGATGACATGTTGAAGGAGTCATTTGAAGTTTCCAAGAATCGAATGATGACTTTTCCCAAGGTTAGAACTTTGTCAGTGTGACATATTGAAATTTTTTTTAATCTCAAAGCTTTCTTTCATAGGATCCAGTGAAGAAGTGGACAGAGAAGGAGGTTAAATGCCTCATTAATTACATCAAGGGTAGTCTAAAGGACTTTGAGAAGCCAAATCCTAACATTTACTATGGAAGATTTCTCTCAATATATCCATCAATCTCTTCGGACGTCGACAAGAAGTGGAACATCGTTAAGGAACAGGTGTCTTTCCTTCAGAGGCAGTACAATCAGGTGAAGAAGACTCTCCAATGGAACACAGAAAAAGATCCTTCATCCAAATTGATTCAGAAAACTGGTAATATCATGAATTGTGATACTCCATCATCCGCAATAACACTTTGCACTGATTCTTGCAGCACAACTGCTCACAAAGTGTCCCTACTATGATGATCTGGATCTGATCTTCAGCAGAATGACTCAGAATGCAGAAACCCAGAAAATCGAGTGGAATTGTCGACCCCAGAAAGTCTTCCTTCCATCGCAGATAACAGTTCGCAATATGAAGACGAGTCAGGATCTCTTCATGCCGTCAACTTCGAGTACTTCATTCGTCTCAGAACCTTCCAAGGAGTGGGAAGAGGAGAAGCTAAATCTGGAAATCCGTAGATTCGAGCTGGAGAAGCAGAAGTTCATACATGAGATGCAAATGAAGCACAAGAAGTTCGCCCTGGAGAGTGACATGAGGAAGAGAGAGTTGGAATTGAGGAAGCTGGAGCTGGAGAATGATCGACTGGAGGTGGAGAAGATGATTGAGATTGAGAAGTTGCGATTGCAACAGGAGGAGCGAATAGAAAGATTTCAGATTCAAATGCAATATGGAATGTGAGAACAGAGAAAATACACATTTAAAAATAAATCCACCAATTTGTGTTTCCGAAATTAGCCGATATTTCGATATATCGCGGCTGTCAAGTGTGCAGAAGTGTAAACAAACAGAGAGGAAAAGACTGTGTTTTAAAACGTGAAAATCATGAAAACCGAGGAGGAAAATTGCGATCTGAACGAGAGTTTTGACGAGGCCATGAGGTAAGCAATCTGTTTATCTGATGGAACTGATAATCACTGCATTACTTCACTGCTTCTGCAGCCCTGTAAACTCTGCCGAATCATCAGATTCCGATGAAACTCCACAAAAATCTCGCATTCGCGCGTCAAAGGAGATTTTTGACACGAAATTACTACTCAAGTACATAAAAGAGTGTCCCTGGATGTCGACAGTTGACGAGGATTACTGCAAGAGATTTCTGGAATTGTATCCGGAAATTGGAGTCAGTTGGCAGAGTGTCTATGAGAAAGTGGGTCGCATGAGGCGACAGTACGTGTTGACGAAGAAGTGGCTTCACGAGAATGTGGCGGACATTGACGAGAACGAGATAGAAAGGGGTGAGAAACACATTTCCTGCGCAGATACAGTGAGGACCAAGATATGTTCTTTTATATAAGATATGGAGCAAAGCAAACAATACAACCGATTTCCTCCTTTTATCAGAAGGTCATTTTACCAGTTGAAAAGCATTTACCGCACGTCACTGTTCGTATCAAGGCGGAAATGCGTTAAAATATTTGCAATATTCCTTTCATCATAGCTTCTTCCGCTTCTTCCTTAATGCAATTTAGTGAAATCCAATCAGTGAAATCGATTAGTTTTAAGAGCCAATATTTAATTAAAATTATAATATGTTAAGAAGGAAAAGACTGTGCAAGACTTGCTTCGTAATTATATGAATGTCGGAGTCCTGACCACCCGCTGTATAAATAAATGACTTCACCTTTTGCAGAGGTGAAGCTGCGGTGCCCGCACTATTATGAATTGGACGCAGTGCTGGAAGAGAAGGTGTTCGATGTGAGTAAAGAGGCAGGTGGGGCGAGTGAGATTGCGGTGGAGGAGAATGGCGTGAAAGAGGAACAATTTCCGGCTGGAGTTCCGGACAGGAAGGATGATTTGACAGCAAGAAGGCTGCAATTTGAGAAGCGAAAATTACATTTCGAGAGCATGAAGTTTGAGGAGGAGAAGTCTTTGGAGGCCGAGCGGCTGCAGTTCGAGGGTGATGTACAGCAGAGGGAGATGGAATTGAGGCGCTATGAGATTGAGACGAAGCGAATGCATGTGGAGAGTGTGGGGGAGGTGCAGAGGTTGCGCTTAGCGAAGGAGGAGCGCATCAAGATGCTTCGCATTGAGATGGAGGCGAAAAAAGTGTAGAGAGAGAGCGAAAACACATATGATAGATTAAAGGGGATGGATTGCGAAATATTTGGCTTTAAAATGCAGATTCGCCAGACGTCTGCACAGCATCCAGACAGAAAGTGAAAGCGGATGAAATTTGCCCATGAGCAGAATTCCCATTGAGTGCACAGAAAGTGGGTGAAAACAAGAGCGTGCGAAAGTGAGTCAGTCGTCCTGGCAACGCGTTTGTTTACTCTCCAATTGATTCCCTCACAGTGAAAGTACCAGAGCGAATGGAGATGTCGGTGAGCAGCCTGAAGCCATCAGTGGACGACACTTTCTACGAGTACCTCACGCTCAATCTCTCGAAAGTGCTAAGTGTGTGATTTAGTGCCATCACAGCGGATTATCCCGCTGACTCGCATGTTCTTTCCATTCGATAGACGCCGTGCCCAGAATCACCAATGTCACCTGCGAGAAGCGCTACCCTTGCGAGGCGGGGCAGATCGCGACGTGGGAGCAGCGCCACAACGTCTACTTGCCCGATGACATGAAGCGCTTCTATCTGTCCACGGACGGATTCACGCTTCACTGGAGCTATCAGTATTCGCGTGAGTACTGCATGTGAAATCGATAAGAAGGTGAATTACATGAATTATGTAAAAAAAAAAACTGACGGCATTCGAACGGTTCACAGATATTGTATCTGTCTGAAGAGAAGAGAAATCTCGAAAAGGGATTTTTCTCCCCTTTAATACAAATTCACTGTTTCTTTTCACTCGCTAATTGAGAATTTTGGGGAATTCATAATTTTATTCTTCAACCAGGGTTTATTAGTTTAAATATTATTTCATTGAAATTAATATTAAAAACTCTGATTATAATTGATAAGTTTAATTTGATTGCATGATTTACAAAGTCTAAAAGAATTTTACTGTTTTTTAATTTTATAGATTTTTTTTAAATCATGCAAAAGCTGCCATTTCTTCCTCAATAATAATTAATTTGTGAGAAAATCAAACGATGTTCTGTAATGAAGTCATTCATTACATGAAGCTCCGCTCGAAAGATTGCATCAACTCAAATATCAGTGATTTTGCGCGTATTTTTCAGCGAACGACACGAGGCGCGTTGGTTACATCAACATCCCTCAGATTTGCCATGTGACACTGCTGAGGGAGAAGATTGAGAGTCTCATGAGTGCCCAGAATGCATCGGGAAGTGGGAAAAGTGACATGCCCAATTTGTGCCTTCGCAGCAAAATTTTCGAGTTGAGTAACATTTGCGACATCGCCAAAGTGTGTCTAATCTATGAGAGTCCAGATTTGGCGAATCCCAAGATTTTCCTGCTGGAAGTCGCGGCGCTGAAGTGGACTTTCCTGGCTGAGACATTCACTGAGTATCTGCGGATGACGATTGCACATCTGGGCCTGCCCTATTGGGAGCTGTGCTTCTCCAACTGTGGCCTGCCGTCGTGGACAGAGCAGCTTTTTCTGCTGCTGGCGCCGCACTTGCTGGAGAAAAGCGAACCGCGGCGGAGTAGAGTGTGGCAGAATATGCCCGAGCAACCGCCCTACAACATCTTAGACCCATCAATCTTCCGCACGAAGCCCAAGTGCACGCGTCAGAGTCAGAAAATGCGGCAAAATTGAGTCTTGTCTTAGTGCGAACATGTAACTATATGCAATCTACACTTTGTAACTTGAATAAAATTTAAAGAGCACATAGAGAGTCTTGAGAGTTTCTTCAGATGACAACACCGAGGGCTTTCTGCTACGTCACCTCCCACACTGTGGACTCCATGGAGCGCCGCGCTTTCGTTGGGACTTCCACATGAGCATCGACGCCATCACTGAGGCGACTCAGACGTCTTGCCCAGCTTCCGCGCAGCCCTGTAGAAGATTGCACCGAATTAAGTCAAATGTCCAGATAATTTACATGCGCGCTTCTTACCTAATCCCGTTCGACTGGACGTGTTCTGATCCCTGAGCGCTTGGATGAGGTCCTCGTAGTCGTTGTCCCTGGACTTCTTCAGTCCGTGTTGGTATTTGGCCTCCTTGGCCAGCATCTGCTCGCGCTGCATCTGCGTCCTCACCTCACTGGGTACGTCTGGGATGATGAACTGCATGATGCCCGTGAGGACGAACACGATGTGCTCGAAGATCACGACAAAGGCCAACCGAGCCGCAAACACGTGCCAGTACTGCGGACTGAGTCCGTACGGATCGTGCGGATCTTGCGGTCCATTCCGGTATCCGCGGTACTGGCAGGTGTCCGGATCGGATTCCAGGGCCGTGGCACCCCACTCCTCCTTGTAGTCTGACGTGTTGAAGATGGACAGCGAGTGATCGATGTAGCCAACGAGGTTGTGATGGTCCGAGTAGACGAACTTATACACCATGCGCGGGATAAAGTCCGAAGTGTAGGCAATGACGAAGGCCTGCAAGAGAATATCTGAATTTGCTGCACTTTGAGGTCGATTGGAGTGACTCACATTCGACACAACTGCGGCATAGGTGATGATCTTCAGGATGCCGTACCACGCGCCGATGTCCTCCACTCTCTCTGCCAGTGGTCTGCGGGCCTGGCACACCATCTTGTACGCGTCCAGGCGAATCTCAGCCACGTTGTTCAGCAGGGCGAATAGTGGCGCCAGAGGAAAGGCAGCCACAAACAGTGTCACGAAGCCATACTGAAGAACTGAGTGTAGGAAAATGAGTGAAAATCATCAAATTCAGACCATACCGCTCAGACTTACTCATCTCCAGGTACTCATCGAAGAGCGCTAAGCGGCCGGGATCCTGCAGGTGATAGTCCTGCTCCCAGGACATGTGCAGATGCGTCTCATCCTTGGTCATAGCCTTGTGTTGCCTCTGACGCCACCAATTCCAGAATTTCCTGCGAAAGAGGGAAGTGGAAGAGTCCATTAATAGCTCGCGCCGCATGAAAAATTCATCGGCACCACCCAAGTGTGTCAGAAACGTACGGAAAGAGGTATTCCATGAAGTTGTTCCAGCACTGCTTTCCCACCATTATGATGGCCAATTGGATGCAGAGCTCGCTGAGGCAGCCCGCGGGGTCACAAATGTCCCCCTTGAGGCGCAGGAATTCACTTTTCCGCACCACATCGTCGCCGGGATAGTCGAAGAAGCGGCCCTTGAAGAAGGCAATGTAGATGAGGGAACTGTAGAAGTTCATAAATTCGAAGAAGAAGATCTTGAATGTGTATGAATCCTCGTATTCGGTGGTTGTTCTGGGATTCTCCAAATTGGTCAGGTAGATGGCCAATTTATGGTATATCTGCAAGGTGAATTTAAGTGGGGTGTAAGTGATATATATTAATATGTGCTACGCAGAATGAATATTTGTGAGAGTTAGTATTTTTGTGGGGGATTCGTCACATTCATCACCCGCTGTGGTATCATATTTGCGCCTCAACAAGTCTCTGGAACTCATCGTTGTGCTTGATTGTGATTTTTGATATTTCACTTCAGATTAGATGGCTTAGACATAAGATGATGCGGGGAATAGTGAAAAAATGCAAATTTTAAAGAGAATAATGCAATTCTAATACGAAAACTGGCGATGAATTCAACAATTTCTACACACGGAAGAGGGAAACTGTGAAAATTCTCAAAATTGACTGTAATTCTTGATTGAAAAGCAACTTCAGCAGCCATCTAAATCTTGTGTTTCTGTGGAGGTTTAGCAGAAAAAAATATCCTCTATGGGATGGTTACAATTTTTCAAATGAAAAAATTCATGATTTTCCCACGTTATTGGATAACATGCAGTCATTTGTAAAGTTCAGATATGAATGACTAACTGAATGGGGCTATTTTGGTGGCGAGCAGCAGCGGCTATTCTTGCACCCCTTCTTCGTCATAAATCAATTTTCTCCCACAACTCACCCGCGTGAGTATCATGATGATGACCAAATTGATGAGGGCGGCGGTCATAGTGGTGAAAATTTTGGCGTGGGTGCGCAAGAAGCTCCCTCCGCCGCTGTATATCACCGCCACCAACGAAATGCGATAGATTATCGTGCCGAGCACGGCGCACAGGACGATTGACACCATGAACAGCACGGCACTTCCGGTGATGATGAAGCGCAGAGCGCGCGTGGTGGTTGGCATGTAGGGCTCCTTTTCGCGCGTCACGGGATTCGTGCGGAATGTTTTCACAGACGCCTCGAATTCCGGTCGATTCTCCTCGTCGTTCTCCGTGTCCTGCAAGTCCCACTCCCAGATTATCACCGACTGCTTTCGCTTCCACATTTCCAGGAAGGTCGTGGCTGCAAGGGAGAAGACAGTTAGGCTACATTCGGCCTCTCCTGACGTGTACGGGCGCTCACCCCAAAAGGACATGAAGATGGCGAAAAAGACTGTGGCCGGATTGTCGAACAGGTACGTCATGCGCGCAAAGAGGCACGACTCAGACAGGTGCTGATAGCTGCAGGCCTTGTCGCACAGCGGACAGAGAGTGATGTTCCCGGCGCCATTGAGATCACAGATTTCCTTGCTGGGCGTATTGTACTCTGAATTCATGGACGCCAGTCCATATAGGAAACAGAGAGTGCCAACGACGGCGGGATAGACCAGCATCTCAGTGTAGAAGCCCAGCCAGCAGAAGTACAGCGCAATCTTATCCCCGAAGTACTTTCGCACGAGACACAGAGGTTGTCGCTTGTACCACTTTCCGGGACGCGCCCACTCCAGATACAGCAGCCGGCGATCGAAGATGACTCCGCTGGAGTGGGGCTTGTCATAGCGGCCCTCGTGAAGAGGGAAGCACGCCAAGTATGTGCCGTCGTTCAGAAGGCGACGAATGCCCATCTGGAATAAGTGCAGAGCCGTTATTCATATTGCAACGAGTTCACAATTCAGCAATTATCGTAGACACGAGAGACAAAGTGGAACTAGTCAATTTGAATAGAAGGTCAGAAAAGTCATTATTTCCTCATTAGATTGCATATTTACATTTACTGCACCAATCAATCAATAATTGCAAGGAGTTATTGTGAATCTGTTGGGCTCTTCAACAGTGTGTCACACTTTCTCTAAAATTGGAAAGATATTTCAGTTATTATTTATTCCCTTTTGTCATTATGCATTAGGTTTCCTCGCGCGCTGTTGATCGATTTCATGCATATAAATATTTCAGAGGGAATTTTAATTGAGAACAGATGTTTGGATATCACGTTGATCGCTGCGAGGGTGGCAGAAACAATTAGAGGAGGAAAGCGTAGTGTACAGAAAAAATGTGGGAGACTGGCTAATGATAGAATGTCTCCCTTTTCAATATTTTATCACTTGGGGGTGGGTGTCTTACCTTTTCTGTGTCATCATAACGTGTTCTCATGAGAATTTGCATCACTATTGCACTCCTTTGTGCACTAGTGTATGTTGTGGCGCGATCCTTAACGATAAATCTGCAAGAAAGCAAAACTATATCTTCTTTCGCTGCCTTGAGATATTCAGAAGATGCCTTACTGTTCTTCCGGAGTTCCTCCGGCCGTGGCATCGTAGAATGAGGGCTCCTTGTCGATCAGCGAGTAATCGTACTCCATTAGCTCCCTAAACTTCTGTAGATACTTTCGCCACCACGTGGGCTTCTTGTTCGCCGCCCGATCCTCGTCCCACGCCTTCACACTGATGGTGATGAAGCGCTTCACTGGCAGTTTGAGATTCATGACTTCGGCATAACGAGACTCCGTGCGCCATGGGATGTGCACCTTGAGGAAATATGTCTTCTCATCGAAGGCCTGGCTCTTGTCCTCCAACTCAAGTTCTAGGCCCTCCTTGATGAGATTCTCCTGGAAGACGCGTCTCTGCTCCCGTCGGCGCGCTTCGAGCTCTGTCATCACACCCTCGCTCTCCTCCTCGTAGCACAGCACCATGTCGATCTTCCTGCGGCCGTCGCGGAACATGAGGGACTCCGGATCGAGGCCCTGAGGGGGGAAAATGAGAATAAGTATATATCAAACGTTCTGATCAGAGCTGGCATTCATATGGATTAACTTGACTTACATCCTTGTTTTGCTTACTGGACCGCCTTGTATCAGTCTGGTCACCTCCTTTGCTATTCTGTTGCGTGACTTTGGCAGCTCCTTCGTGTTGGTGGGTCGCGTTATTGTTGCCATTCACGTGATTCTCCGCCATAGAGTCATTCATTGATGGGAACTGAATGTGTCCCAGAGATCTCCGCCTCTGCTCGCTCACCTCATTCACAATTACACTCGTTCGCTGGCTATAGTCGGAGCCCATGCCATCGGCGGGCTCCATTGGCGTGCCCGGGATGTTCTCCAGGTTGACGCGCGGCCCGAAAGCGTCACTAAAATCGACTCTGAATTAAGATACAATCACGCTTGATGGACACATATGATCGATTTGCATCTGGTGCACCAATAAATACGTGTTTCGTGTGCAATTCACACCTAATGACTGAATAGGAGGTGCGAACGTTGAATACAAGTGCTGGTGTATGCATTTGTCACTTAACTCTCGCGGGTCGCAGGTGTTGCTCCATTCCACAATACTGCAGGTGCCATTTTCCGCTAAACTACTTCCCTTTAAATCAATTTCTCTGCATTATTTAAATGCCTTGCATTGCAACTGCTCCCCTTGCGTTATATGCAATATATAGGACAATTGCAACACTGCAAATCTGACGAAATTATGCATTTTTTATCGTAAGAGAAGAGAGAAAGAAATGTGGATTGAACAAAATCGACACGTGATTTCATTAAAATTCTCAATGACATCATTATCTTTATTGGGCCAAAAATACACCCTCACGAAGAGAGCATTAAAGCCTGATTCAATTTAGATGTGCTTCTTTCACAATGGAACAGACTTTATCATTTGTTCATGCCAGAAAGAGAGAGAGAGAGAGAATCTGTGCACTTTCCCACATTAATAAAAAGTGGAAAAAATCATCTACATATATCAATGACAATGAATAATTAATTTTTTTTTAGGATCAGAATTCAGGACTTCGTATTAATCTGAACTGAGTTGAAAAATATATTTTCCGCCGCTTCACAAATTGAAAGAAAAGTTTACGTGTATCTAATTAGTGCTCGAAGTGGGAAAAAGTTATGTTGGATGCTAATTAATTCCCATGCTTCATTTAAGTGAAAATTTGTAAATTCACGCATACAAAATGTGCTGTGTTAAGTTGCTGGACAAAATGTGTTTTCCTTGATTTTGCCAAGTGGCGCTAAGTCACGAAATGTTTGAAAGGCACAATTGAAATGTATTTCTGAAGGTGTTGATGTTTGAGAAAATGCTCCCAAAAAATCACACGGAACTCTTGATTAAACTGGATTTATCGTCTTTTAAAATTTCATTTCATGGAACAATCTTCTTCAATATCTTATTTTAAAACATATTTTGCACCTTCTTTTTAGCATTTCTTTAAATATCCTCAAAAGAAATCATTATGTTTCCCTCTTTTTATGTTGTTAAAAATAAATCTGCTGAAATCTAATCAAGTTTACCTATCATAGTTTAGTGTACTAAACTTGCTACAAAATTAGAAAAATGATTAAAACCGCATATCTTCTTCACTTCTGTTGAGAATTATCCTGGAAAAGTGCGCACTTGTGCACTCATACCACAAAGAATACATTTCTTGAAGATAACATGGGAGTCTTGTGGGTTGACGAACCTCTTCTCGAAGGGTGCATCGATGTTCAACTGACTGAGCATCGAGCGCTGCTGTTGATTGCTCAGTGGCCAGTCATCGGCGGGCGTCTTTGTCAGAGGAGACTCCACGATGTCGTCCAGATCGCGATTGCGGTGCTCCTCGTGCCACGAGCGCTTCAGAGATCGTCCGCAGTCTTGCCTCACGCCGCTCTCCAACAGCGCCATGTGCCGGATGTTGTCAGAGCTGTGGCGCAGAAAGGGAAAGGGATCACATTGTGATCTCTCACCGCCGCCACTCCGCGGAACAGTCAGAGCCGAGTCCTGGCTATATCTTCGCTGCTGCGGCGCCTCCACGAGATTAGGAATCTCTATCCTCATACACTTCACTTGCTCACTCACACTCTGCACCTCGCGATTCACATCATCGTCAACCTGCTCCTGCCTCGCCTGTCCACCCTCTTCGCGGGACATCAACGCACAGACACTCTTGGCACTTGGGCGAGAGACTCACAGGAGCGACACACACTTGTTCCCGACACTCAACCAGCTAGGCTCGATTGAACACATCCGGTCGCGACGACATCACACTTGCAACTAACCTGGGAAATTTCCCCGAAAGCTCAATTTATGATTCAATGTTCAACACACAATCGGCTTTTATTGATTTTATCGGCGGCAACTTGGAGTACATGTGCGTTGTCATAGAAAAGAATCGTTCGTTTCTTGCCGGAAAGGATGCACAAATCACAACAACCACACTAAAGGTGTCTGTGAAGCATTTCCACTTCGTTAAGTGTTCGCTGTATTGCACAATTTTCTTTCCAACTGTGAAGAAGGACGATGTAATTTATATGAAGTCCCTAGCTTAACTGAAAGGAATGTTGGGAAAATGGTTTTTAACGCCTTTTCTGCTCAATCCCTTGTGAATGGTAAATTTTCCCGGTGGAAAACAAGATTTTAAGTAACCTTTCCCATTCAATAAGGCACACGATAAAGACCATTCTCACCACTGAATTAATAAGAACGGAATAGTGGCGGCAAGAGACTTTGTGAAAGTGCCTCATTACTGCTCATTTTGTCTCCCTGACTTTTGAACTTTATGTGGGACAAATGTGGTGCATACAACGTGATGTGGGGGGTTAATGGTGAGGCCAGAAGCACTGACTCCTGTGCCGTCTGGGGAGGGAACTTTTCAATTTGGTAAGCAACTAATCATTTAATAATTGATTAGTGACCAAGAAATGGGAGTCACACACATCTTCACGCTGGATTTCAATGTGATATGTTTCGTTTATTACAATGTGAATTCTTTTGGAAGACACATTCATAGTCAGTTTTTTTTTTTCTCATCTGTGTTGGTTTTATTTTTTCACCCAAGTAGACTTTGTGAGGTGGAAAAAGTTTATGTTCGAGCATAAGTGAATAGTTCGTGTTGGTTTGTTTCTCGGTGGCGTCATGTTAAAGCTCTTCTCGCCCCCTCAATTATGTATAGTGCATGAAGCTTCGCGCCATGACAACACGTGTGACATAACAAAACTCGAGAGAAAAATTGCCCTCCGACAATGCAAGGATTTTAAAATGTCACTTCCCACTCGTCGTGTTACACATTTAGTATATTTCATGTTTATTCACACATTGACTCTTTACATCAAGTATAATTATAATTTCCTCCTGTTAAAACTTCTCTTTCAATTCAATATATTTCAATTTTAATTAATCAACTAATTTTAATTTTTTGCTAAATACAAAAAATTAGGCCTTGTCATTTTCTTATTATCTTTTCATAAAGTCAAATCCCTAAATTTGTTTTCTAATTCTTTTTTTCTAATCTTTGATTCTTTTTTCTCTAAATAATTGCAAATGTCCAATTTTTCAACTAATCTCGTTTCTCTGAAAATCTGACTCAAGCCAAAAAATCCACTCTTTTGTTAATCTTCAAAAAACTTTTAAAATTAATGATTTTTTTCCAATTTTACTATTTTAGCCATTGTACATAAATTTTATGTTCCAGAATTATTAGTTATACATGTATTATGGGAAAGAGAATTACAGGCGTTGGGAGTTTTCCACAATGTGCTTTTCATCAGTTTTTGTCTTGATTGGGGTCAAATGTTTTCACTACACAGAGAACTGTTTCATTTAATATATTTATTTGATTATGTATAGTGATAGTTAAGGTTTCATTTTGAGCACCTTAGTTAACTTGACACATTAATATTACTGTTTATTGTTGCTGAATCAAATCTGCAGAATTGATTCATTCGCAACTTTAGCTTTGGAGCTGATTTTTATTATCTAATCATCATAAACTTTCAGTTTCATAGTAGCGCGCCTTTTAAATACAATTTTCAATGCTTCACAAAAATATGTCTCAAATAAATTAGAGCATGTGAGTATTTTTGGTGGCGTTAAATTTTCGAAAAATACTCTTTTCTTGGTATATTTTTAGCGTTAAAAATAATTGTATATTTTTATGTACGCTATATTCTATTAGGAATTAAATTGTGCTCTATTTTTCTTTTCTTTTTTATCCCAATTAAAATTATCCAAAAATTTATGCAATCTGTCTTCTCTCCTCAAAATTGTCTTACATTTACGATTATATAGTTTTTTTTCATATTCCCATTAAGACACCTATTTTTACTTTGAATATATATTGATGCTAATTTCATTTCCGTGCTATCATTTTGAAAAAAATAATCTCCTGAACTGAATAATCTTTTAAAGACTGCTGAATGAATTATTTACGTTTCGTGGGAGAAAGTTTCGATTTCAACACATGCTAATGAACTTAAAACAACCATTAAAGGATTCCTTTAGTGAATTTCAAATAAAGCTGTCGTACGCTTTTCGATCCAAACACCATTGATAATTCATTCCCCAAATGTGTCCTCGAAAACTGACCGAAGCGTGTTTTGGTCAATGGAATCTCATGAGATCCAAAAAATCGGCTTACAACTTGATCGAAAAGTCATGTGTGTATACTTATAAATCTGTCCCGAAGGGTGGCTAAAAGTGGGCATGGCGATAAGAAGTCAATTTTGAAGATTAGGGAAAGATTCTCCGATTTGTTAACTTTATCAGAATCAAACAAAAAATTTGATAATCAGCTTTCAAAGAACTGTAATAAAATGTATACGCTTCTGTTGTCAATTTCACAATATTTACCATGCAAAATATATCATACACTGTCTTCCAAAATCATAGATGAAAGATTGATGTGTTTTTGTAGATGAAACTCTGGATGTCCTCAATTTTCCATAGGATTCCTGTTAAATTTTCATTTAATTTCTGTTATAAATTAAATTGTCCTATTCCTTTCTGTACCAGCCGATGAGAATAAAAAGTCTGTTGTATATTTTGCCAATGGAAATTTTTCAATCAAATTCTGATTAGTCTTACGTAAGTACTTAATCTATTTTTACTATTAAATTGCTTCTTGTACACTGTTATTTCGAAATCGATTGTTACAGAAAGTTCGTAGAAATGAGTTTTGAACTTTTTCCAAAAGTTTTTTTTTTTTTTTCAAATTATCCATTGAAGATTAGGCAAAAAAAACTTGGCAAAAATAAAACTTCACTGGAGATGCAGACGCTAGAAATACAATTGGAAGTTTAACCATGAAAATAAGTTTAGAACATAAGAATGAACTATTAAAACATTGTAGAATCTATTCTATAACTCTATAATTATGTAATTTCTGCTATTCTGTCACATTTACACGAATAGGTTCTTTAAACTTCCTATAGTTCTTAGTTTACATTGATGTGTTTAACGGCCAGTTGTTAGTTCAATTTAAAACGTAAAGTTTTTATCTAAAATTCACTGTAAAGCTACATCACAATGCAACGATATAATCCAAGTGGACGCCTGAATCACTGAAAAGTTCTGTAAAGCATTCTTTATGCCTGCTAATTTCTAATCATATGCTAATAACCATTTCTAAATGTCTACTTATATTTTATAACGTTCATATGTTCATCGTTATATGTAGATTTATTAAGTTTAAAGCGCCTTTGATTCTAAAATGTTTGAATTCAATGATTTACAACTAGAAATTCGGCAACTGCTTTGCTTACCTGATGCATGATAGAGATTTTGAGAGACAAGTGGAACTATGATTAATTTTTTAGTAGCCTAATTTATCATATTTCATCGAGTGGCATGATGTCGATTTTGCAGAAATTTTATTGATGTTCAGCAGACTAATTTAATTAATTCACAGACTGACAGCAGAGCTTGCATTAATATGTACAGTTTTTGCAGAGCTTTTATTGGTGGCAGTGTAGTATTTCAATTCCTAGAGGCTTTCTATATGGTAGTTCGATATTTTGTATTGTTAGGCCTATACTTCAGACACACAGTATTGTATGTACAGGTATTAAGATTGTTAATTCATGACTGTGTTGGCTAAAATTCATATTTATTTCTCTGTGTGAATTATGGTAATGAAAATTATGAGCAATTTCGATATTTTACATTGCCTTTGGCAGACCTTTTATTACTTGCATACACTTCAATTATAATCACATATGTACAATATGTTATAATCTCTTTCTATTGCATAATATAATATCTATTTCGTCCTGTTATTATTCTAGATTTGGTTCTAGAACAATTTGGGGATTGTATTGTGCATTCTTCGGCTAATATTGTTCAATATGGTTCAATACTTGTATCTAAGTTACTAATCTATGATAAGCTAAGTGTCTACTACGTCCACTGGAGACTGAGAGGATCAAATCAAAAATATCTTCGCATTGTGAGTCGCCTTCAGGTATTGTTATCTCAATGTAATTGTATATATTACTATTATATTACGCACAAAATTAATCAAGCATGACAAAGTTATTGGTTTATTGAATTGTATCATTATCATTTCATCTGATTTGGAAGACCGTTTTTGGTTTTTTATTTATTTTTGATGGTTTGAAAAAGAATTGTATTCTTTCTTTACCTATTTTCTTGTTTGATTCTGATGAAATTAACCTTGTCCGAAGAATCTCAGGAATTTAATAAAACTGTAAATAAGAAGAACTATGAATTCTCATTTCTCTTATAATTGCTGCATTACATTTAGTGACATTTACACGCACCACACGCACAAACAACACAGTTTACGTGATTAAATATGTACCTGTAATTCTCTTTTTTTTAAATCTGTGGTTTTTTTTTTAATCTGTGGTTCTTTGTTAGGAGTGGGAAATTAATTCACTGAATGGGTTTTCAAAGAGTTTTTCTATTGGTTATGAACCGAAAAATGGTTTTGCGTGGATAATACTTGAGGCCCAAGATGACAAAAGATTTTGATTTTCATACTGTGCTCTCTTGTCCGGGCACTCCTTCGCACTCATCGGATGCATTAGAGGATGAGCTCTTGTCCTGTTTCGGACTGTGACCACAGCTTGCTGTTCGCACCAGATTCTGATGATGCTCCCTCTCAATTTCAACTCTCTGCGTCCTCTCGCTCG